CACATTACAGTACAGTACCATTACATTAAGCAGTGCCTTCAGGGGGACAGCAGTTGGTGAAGTATGGTACTGGAGTGCTCCCTGTCACTGCGCTGGCCGGAGGGAGTCACCTGTCATTCCCCTAATACAGTATGTCCCTGCAGGTTGATACCATCTCTCCTGCTCTTCAAGTTCCCACTCACATGCTACCACCAAACTAGGTCTTATTTTCGGGGTAGGTCTTATATTACAGGAATCTTGAAAAATAGTGCTAGGTCTTACTTTCGGGGTAGGTCTTATTTTCGGGGAAACACGGTGTATTTATATATAGAACAATTCTACATCTTTACGACTGCAAATTAAAAGGTTTAGTAAATTTCTGGGTTTTCTTGTGTTGTGGTGTGTTGGCAGCGTATTCAAAATTTTATAAGGTGGAACTTAGAGTTGTTGCCTTAATGTGTAAACTTACACAGCATCCATACTTACCTGCCTCCCTCATCACTCCATCATCCGTCCGGGCTTCTTTAAGAGTCACTTTATCCCTGCATAAAAGGCATGCAGAGAATGTACACTCAATCAATAAACATTTAACTGTCAGACTGTCAACATAATGGTGTGTGCACTAACACACCACAATGCACTGCAGAGGTGTGAAGGGTGCCTTAAAGCTCAAATCCAGAAAACAAACAAAAAAATATATATATTTTATGTTTAATAATTATTTTATGAGTACTGTGTTAATGTTTTAAATTGTTGGAAAAAAAACCCATTAATAAAGATTATCTGATCTAAAAAAAAAAAAGTTCAAATCCAGCTTTGGCAAACATGTAAAAAGTCTGAATCATCTTTTTAAAAATAAAAAAGCAGTTCTGGCTGCAATACCTATTCTATTTCCCAAGCTGTCCCCCATTGATTTATCCCCTCACCAATCTAACACCTCTCCTCTTCCAGCTTACAGTGAGCCCGCCCCTGCCCCAGATTCACAGGAGAATGCTGTAGAGAGTGTAGCTATGTTATTAGGTCTCATTATCTCCTTGCATTTCACTTTTATGTTTTAGTGGTTGGTCTTTACTAACTATTTGTTATACCTGTGAAATACAAACGGAATCACAGGATTTCCTTGAAAGATGTTACTAATTAGGAAACTCATCCAGGCCTTTTAGAATCGCAACAATCGAGGAATACCATGCTTGAACAGATTTTATCTTAATAAGAGACAGATGGAAGATGTGACTAAGTAAAGTTTTTTTCCCCCCACAATACACCAGTAAATTTAGAATTGCTTTACTATTGTCATAATTTAAGCCAAGCAATTTATGTACAGTATGTCACTGAAGACAATTCACAGTATTGCAGGTGAATTGTTATATTTGTATGAATTGTAAAATCTCTATACATGAAGACAACACAGGATACACACAGGATACACACATGCATTTGATCATGAAATATGGCAGCAGTTTTTACAGTTATTGCCACCAACATGTATAAGAATGACAATGGAACCTGAGACAAACCTACATATATTGCAATAATTCCGGAAGCAACTGGCACCATCTCATACCTTTGAACCATCACAAACATAATATGGTTAATCCCGGAGAATGCCCAGATTAGATCCTGTCCTGTACCCAAAAGATATAGGAATCACCAATGGGCCACACCAAGATAGGAGATGGACCTGAAAGTTAAAGTCATAGGTGAGGCCTAACTTACAAAGAATACCCATGGCAATGGCCTTACAAGCAAAAACCAGGTACCCTGATATTGATTGTAGATGTTTGAGTTTAAGTTTCTTAGAGATGATCCCAAGTTTAAACAGGATAGTTTATCTTTAGGTAGTTTGAAAACCATTTGATGGGTGTCTATCTCTATACCTATACCTGTACAGGCAGGAGACAAAAGGTTGATTCTATATCAGTTTTTGCCAGAAGGCATTTTTGCCTGCTTCTCAAATTAAATTCAAGGCCTTGTCGAAGAATGCATATTGCACAGTGGATTCCTCCATGTTAATTCCATCATTGACAGATGGACCATCAGGATATGAAAGGTGGTTCATTATTCTGAATTTAACTGACTCCTTTTTAGGTATGAGTCAGAAAGGTGAAACCCTCAAAGTATGGTATGGGGAAAGAAAAAGGTCCTGCTATGTGGCACATTCCGAATTTTTAAGAATGCCAAATGTTCTTTTTGTTGCATAGATTTGAGTTAATCCTCCATAGTAAAGTCATTAGATGGAGTAAAGGGAATCAAAATCATCCCATATTATGCTGGCTTTTCTTTTGAAGGGGTACTTGCCTAACCACGGGAGCATATTTTCTTTTTTCACTGGGGCCCGCCTGTCTAGGAAGCCGAACCTTCTGTTTTGCTTTAGAATTGGGCTTTTTTGCCTTTTTAAATCATCAGAGTGCTGTGTGAGCTCCACCGCAGTGGGAGCGCTTGTGCCTTAAACGGCAAGCGGTATACCATTTGCAGTGGTTCTTGTTAAGTAGACAGCAAATGCCTTCTTTTTACATTGCCGAGACTTCAGTAGGGGTGCCAACACCAAATTGAAAGGGCGATGGTCTGTGTGGACACATTAATAACTATAGACTACCATCCTGGCAATCAAACTTTAATGTTTTTAGGCTGCCAATGTTTGGTTAACAGGATTGGAAGTGCAGCAGAAGCTTGTGTGGAGATCCTATATTCTTGTTGGGTGGGTCCTGCCATTTAGAACTTTACTCCACAACTTACATAAGCAGTAGCCCTAGTGGCTAAAATGGCTGCAAAGGATAAAAATCTGTGCCATTAAATGTTTGACTAAAATTTCAAGTAAAATAAAAACACCAAGGATAATGAGTTTATACTGTGTTTTCATTGTTTGTTTAGTGCACTTTTAAAAAAAAATTAAAATGTATCTCCTCCATGCTCAATTTATATATTGGTTGCTTAAAATAATGTTCCATTTGTCTTTGTATCTTAACTGGAAGTAGAACATATTACATTCTCACGTGGGTGTGTTGGCCCCAGTGCAGAAACTGTAGGGAATTAATTTTATTGCCAGCAAACCTTTTGTATATACTTCAAAGAGTAACATTCACATGAACCAAACAAATCGGATCATAAACAACTTTTTATTCCCAATTAAAAATGACTGCTTTATGTCAGTAGAGCAGTTCCTCTTGCTATAAATTACGTAATACCTGATGACAGTGCACAATATCAGTAACTAAGCTTGCTATGTAATATTCATTGAATCATATAAATAACTTGACAGTTTTTTAATTTCTGATTCTGTATAACAGAGAAATGCATTACTTTTTTTTTCGCACTGCAACACAATACACAATACAGCAGTACTGCAAGTTGCATTGGGCTGTGAAACCTGCTGGGAGGTGTGTTGGGGTGCCTTTCAAATAAATGGCAACACGATGCACTAGTGCACCTTGCATGCAGTGAAGTGCGCTGTGCAATAGTTTGCACTAAGTGCATGGGTACTGTTTGTTTAGTGCAATGCTATTGTGTCAACAAGCCTTTAACCACCTCATGTCCATGGCCGTTCCTGAACGGCTGGACAGGAGTCTTGTAGGAGTGGGAGGGCATCTTAAGACGTCCTGCCCTCACCCGCTCATTTGCGGCGCTCAGCGCACACACAACTAGGGAAACTGTCAGCATGTAAACGGCCAACGATAGCTGTTTACATTCAAGTGACCGGGCATCTCTAGAGACGCCCAATCGCTTGCAGGAGCTGTGGGTGTGCGCCCCCCGGTACCTCGTCGCCACCGCCTCCTCGCCGCCGCTGCCGTTCCCAAGATCCGCTGTGCCCAGTACGGCTGGTGACACTCTCAGTGGAGATCAAAGGGAGATCAGTACACAATCTCCCTTTGATCTCTTCTCCTGTCCACGAATGCAGAAATTGATGTATATTACATCACTTCCTGCATTCAGAGTCACTCTCACTGAAAAATGGCCTGGCCAGGAAGGGGGTGAAACACCCTGGTCTTCAAGTAGTTAAAATGTATTGGTATCACTGGATATATTAAAAGAGCTAATGTGTTTTAAAAGTACAGTTATCTTTTAAAAACCATATACGAAAGCAGCCTTTTTATTTGTTTTATTGAAAATGCAACTTTTTTTATACTTTATAAATATGAATAAACTAATAAATTATGCTAATGTAAGGTCTAGTAAAATATATAATAATAATATTTAGTTTACTAACAGTAGCATATACACCTATGAAAATAGTTGCACACATATTTGAAAGAATCTAAGAACATATAGAAATTGTTATTGTATTATCCAACTAAAATAATTGGATGGCCTTTTTTCGATCTCTGAATCCACACGCTAAATACTGAAGATGTGAGTTAATCGTATCCCACAAACAATAAAATCAAAAGATTGTTTCTTTCATTTTATATTCCTAACCTAAGGTTCTCAAAAATGTGCTGCGGTAATGCATGAATGCCACTCCAATGCATTAGAGCAATGCACCTGCCCTGAAGTGCACCTCAACACACAGCAATGCACTACCATGTGTTGCATTCCTGAATAGGGTTTTAAAAACATGGGGGTGTGTTGGCATGCCATTAAAACTCAATAAGTAGAATGTAACACATATTAACATGCAAACGTTACCACATCGCAAAGGTTTCATCATAAACATCATCATTGACAAGGGGGAACTATGGGCAATGGCATTACATTGGAGGCAAAAAAGGGTAGCTATTTCCACTGCACAACAATCATCTGCATTTTCACGCAGTCTTTTTTTTCCGCTTCTGATATCCTGGGAAACATTGGTATACATATCTTCAGGAATTAGATACAGAAAAGAGGGTTTGATTTTTATTTCTGTATGCAACCTACTCTGGTATAGGTGTATCTCCGTTTTTGAAATTTTTTTTCAGACTCTCAGTTTTTGCATTTTGTGCAGAATGTATATTCTAAGGCCCTAGGTCCAGGATCTACTAACTGATTGTAAGTGTGTTGACATATTTATAACAGTATCTAACCTTGTTATTTTTCTTATATAGGTGGTCTATGTTACTGCAACTTTCCCCTATGTTATGCTGCTAGTTCTCCTGGTCCGTGGGGTCACTTTACCTGGAGCATCCGAAGGAATAAAATTTTACTTGTATCCTGATTTGTCTCGGCTCTCAGATCCACAGGTGAGAGACTAACTGCCCTTTATATTGCTCTTATTGAAAAGACTGTCTGATATGATGTATTAGTGAATAGGCAGTTCAGTCCAAAGTATAATGAATGTTTTTCAATAGTAATGAGGTTCTGGTTTGCCGCTACCATGGGCTTGAGGCGAATCCTGTGGGATTAAGATTCTCTGTCCTAGTAAATTTATGTGCAAGTTCACCTTGAAGAATTTTTTTAAACCATAATACACTGCATGGCCTTTGAACTATAGCCAGCAGGCTTTGGGCAACCAATCTCTTTGCTGCCTTTTTTGTTCTTATTATTTTTTTTGTCTTTCATTTTATTTTGTGGTTGATTTGAGGTCATCGGTCACTTTTAGCTCCTGTCCCATCATTATAAAACATTATTTTTGCTACAAGGCTTCCCGTAAAAAATAAATAGACTTTTTTGATTCATAGGGTGGTCACAGGTCGGCTCAATAGATCGGGAAGTGAGCGAACACATACCGTCGCTCACTCACTTCTCGATCCTGTCCCTGCAGAGAGCCGTGACTGTCACTCCCTGCTCCCTGCAGGGATTCCCCCCCTCCCCTGTCACATCCTCCAGCGGTGACTGGTGGAACGGACGGGGGAGGGGGCGGGTACAGCTGGCTCTGCCTCTAGGTAGGCAGAGCCATCTGTCACTCACGCAGCTGGGTGGATCTCAACTGTAATGCAAAGTAATGATTTTTTTTTAAAGGGGGCACATTTTAATAATATGCATTGGAAGGTATTAATGCATTTTGCTATATTGCTTTATTCCAGCCTTGTGTGTCTCCCTGACTTAATAGAGCTTTAATGACTCACAAATCTTGTGGCAATGGTGTTGCCTACCAGATAAAGAGTCCAAAAATGACAATAACAAATTGCCATTGTTTGTCTGTTGCCCCATTTTGAATTCATTTTGTTTTAATGATATATTATTGAGGAACAGACATATACATAATGAATCAGTTGACATTTTGCTGTGTTTCTATTGAGCTGAACAATGTAATATGAAGTGCGGGATCTCGCAGTCATCCATCACTGTGACAACTTTGCTGTAACTAAGACAGCTTCCATTTAACTGTAGATGTGATTTATATCCTACTTATAGTGGATAATACATTGTAATTTAAATGTAGTAAGTGGTGGAATATTGGTTCTTTCAGCACAGTGACTTAGTAGTTAGCACTTCTGTCTTTCAGCACTGGGGTCCCCCGTTTAAATGTTGCATGTGCTTGCATGGGTTTCCTCCGAATATTTTAGTTTCCTCCCATACTCCATAGACATGCTGGTAGATTAATTGGCTCCTGTCTTAACTGGATGTAGTATGTGTGTGTGTGTGTGTGTGTGTGTGTGTGTGTGTGTGTGTGTGTGTGTGTGTGTGTGTGAAATAGGGGCCATAGATTGTAATCACTTTGGGGGCAGAGACTGATGTGAATGTGCAGTATAAAAAGGGCTGCTTAAATTGTGGGTGCTATATAAATACCTGTACAAAACAAATTCTTGATTTAGAGCAGTTGACAATGGACACATGTAAAAAAATTACTATATCTTTAAATATACCTTATCTTTACCCTAAACTGAATCTTACCACTTTTCTCTCATCTAACCTGAATTCCAACATATCATAAAAAACCTGCACTATGAAAGCTGTGGCCAAAAAAGGCAAGCAGGACAAATGAATAGTCAGCAGTAATGGCTGCAGGTTCTCTGTAGCTGACCTTTTCCTCATTACTGACTTACCATGTCTTGTTATGCCCTATATCTCTGTGTACAGGCAGTCAGAGGTAGAGGAGAAGCGCTTTGTTAAATGATGGTCATTTTTAGGGTTAATAGGCAAACTACTGAAAAAGGCAGAATAAACCATGGACTGCCATGGAAGACAGGTTCCAATGGCAACAAATTTAAAAACAAATCATACAGCGGTGTAAGAGGGTTGTACTCTTTGGGTATGTGGATCCCATAAGTTCAGTGCTGGAGCTTCTGGTTAACACGTGAAGCACCATAGGAGTAACTTCATAAGAATGTTAATGCATTTTTCCACCTATAGGTGAATAACTAGCTGCTGTTAGCCAAACGTCTTTTCTTCTGTTGAAGATAGTTATTTGCATACATGTCCAGATGAATCTTTCCAAAGTTTAGATTAACAGCACAAATGCATGAGTTAATATATGTTGTGTTGACATGCATTTTAGATATATTACATATTGGAAGACTCTGAGTTGACGTGACTGGCATAACATAGGTCAGTGCATAGCATTGCATACAAATTATATGTCAATGTGTTTATTGTAAACAAGCTGTATGGTCTGGTTAATGCACTGAGGTATGTGTTGCTCTGTGTAGAACTAATCTAGCCCCTCACTTTTGAATGTGTTCAGAATGCTTTTTACTCTATTTGCATGGGCTTCCCCCCTATGTCTCAAGTAGTTTGTGATTCTTACTGGCAATAAAAACAATTCAAAAAGCTTTACACAAGAATAAGGATCTTTATTTTAGATATTTGCCTGTACTTTTCAAATCTAATTGGACTCAGCTGAAAATAACTGTTTTGAAAATAAGTGTAGACCCACATTCCCCCTGGAGGCTGTTAAGGACCCCAATATAGCTTTGTAGACTACCATCTCAAACCTCAGGGCAGAAGTTTAACAGAGTTTATTAAGCTCCATAAACTCAGGAAGAGAGGGGTTAGGGCAGCGGTGTGTTTAACTTTGCTGCTGCCCTAGGCAAGGCAGCAACGCCGCCCCCCCCCCGGACTAACCGGCCGATTCGTGGAGTGCAAGCCAACGCCCCTGGGTTAGGGCATGGGTTACACAGAAAAGTGACAGAATGCAGATTGCAGATTCCACTTACAATCAATAGAGAGGAAAAGGCCTTTAAGCCAGAACAGACACAGAGTACTCTTAAGGCTACATAGTAGTTATAATATTCTAGCATGCGGACCCCCTGGATGAGCCACCAGAGCTTCCTGCAGTGTTTTCCCAGCAGCAAAATCTGTGCAGAAATAATTGGGACTTTAAGTGTACACATATGCATATCAAAATTGCATATTTATAAAGCACATATTGAACAAACATATAAAATCAACTCAAGAGGGTTTTTTCATTACAAGGTTGGTACACATCTAATTTGAAATGCCCCCTTTACATAAATACCACCATCAAAGGTTTATAATCATACATAGACAGCATAACAAAAGTATTTTTTGCTGTAATGTCCATTGGTGGATGGCTGTCTATGTGTTTTATGTACAACAGTCACTATCTGTACGAAAATACGAGCCACTAGCGCCAAAGACGACCCCTCCACTGGGAATGTATGCACACTGGAATTTTACAGGTGGCTGCCCCACATCAGTCAGGAAGACTGGAGTATCTGGCAAAACATAAAAACAAACAGGGGACACTTTCCCTAGTGTAGATGGTTTTTATTGAGCAAATGCAAAAGAAAGAATAATAGTCACAAAAGAGCAAATTACAGTATGCCTTCAAAGTCAGGAGACAGTTCTCAGTCTTAACCAAACAAGACACAGCATGTGAAGTCTGCAGACGGATGACAGATCTATTAGCTGCACACTTTGCCTGGGTTAATGCATTTCTGGGGCACACCCCCTTCTTCAGAACCTCTGAAGAAGGTGACGTGCCCCAGAAACACATTGAGTTGGTTAAGACTGAGAACTATCTTCTCACTTTGAAGGTGTATTGTCTTTTGCTCTTTGGTGAGTATTATTCTTTCTTTTGCATTTTCTCAATAAAAACCATCTACACTAGAGAAGGCGCGGCCTGTTTGTTTTAATGTTTTGCCAGTCACAGGGCTTGGAGAACAAATTGCCTGGGAGCTAAGTGGCGTAAAAAATTTGGATTTGAACTGTTTGGGATATATTGAGTGCTTGATTTTAACTATAGAAACAATATAATTACAGTATAGACTCATGCATGTGTACAATTCTTACACAACTTGTATGCATAGCCAGATATTTTATTAAAAATCACACCTCTAAGTCTATATATTAAACTCCGGAGACCAAAGAGAGAAACACACATTGGATAACACATGAAGGGCATCATCCTACAAGACCAATGTAAATATCTGTAAATATCATAATAAAAGTTCATTAATCTGATTATTCATTTTGTAATGATTAAGGAAAAAAACATAATTTACCTTCCTACATATCTAAAAAAGTGAAGAGCCTATTCCCACTGTTGTCCTTAACATATCATCTTCTTTTTATAGGGAGGGGGGTTATCATATGTATATGCATTTCTGCAATTCAAGCAAAACAAAAGATCATTATATATGGATTTCCCTTGTCTTTGTTGTATAAAATAATGCCCTTTTCTTTAGCATGATCAAATGAGGAATTCAAACTGACACACATATCTGCATAAAAACAATTCCTGGTTTAATGGTTTAAATACAACATATGCTTACCGTAATTAATCATAATTCTGACTGCGCATGCACCTAGACTTATCTACAACACAACCTTCAATAGAGGTCAGTTAGTTCTTAGGTGAAGCTTGTACAAGTTTACAGTTTAACATGCTAATTGCAAAGGTTATATAAGGTTGCTTCTGTTAGAAGAAAAGATAAAATGGCTGAATATCAAAAACCTATTCAGCCTATTTTTAACCCCATACCTGAGCAGTGTTTTAAATAGACATGCATGGAGGTACATAGCTGTATCTCAACACAATGCTGAATTTAAAAAAATGCCTGTAATCACTGGTTTCCAATTATCTTCATAGAACCTGAAATTAATGAGTGATGTTTTGTTACCACAGCCCAGCCTGTTCTTACATATACCTAGCACACATTTGGGCACAAACTTATACTCTAAAATCAGCAAAGACCAAACATATTCCATTATAAAGTCTCTGTTAGTTCTGGATGGCAATGAGATAGACCACTTATTTAACTAACCAGTGTTTCCAGTACACTACACGCCACACACCTTTGAGAAAGCTCAGACCGGAGTGAAACATGTTAGGAAT